AAATATCGAAAAATTTTCAAAAATATAAAACTACACGATCAAACATATTTGCAGGTGCAGTAGAAGACTTTTTATTTTAGAACATTTCAATTTCTTAACAATTTGTGTTAGTCCATTGACATCATATACTAAAATAGGAAGAAAAAATATAAAATAACTTTATTAATGCTTGCTTTTTATATAGTGTTGTGTCACAAAATCCATTAAAATGCGCAAGATATTATTAAAACACAAGGCCGCACATGTGATCAAACGGATCAGAAATATAAAAAAATTTAAAAAACTTTGAGTCTGCTCTTTTAATTGTTCAAAACGAGCTATACCAAAACTTTAAACCACATAAATGAACTCCAGTTGGAAAGCACAATTCTGCAATAAATAAGTAAGAGGTATAACTACACAGTAATTTTTTTACGATATAATTTGTCTTTAAAAAAAACTCTGGCAAAGTAAAAATTAATAATCACGAGAAGAGGTACCGATGTACCTGAAGTGGTCATCGACTAAAATTCGATAGTCTTGACTACTTGGTCACTAAATGCCGGCTCTGAATAATCATATCTCTAATGAAAATTAAGTATTTTCTGCTTAACAACCACTTTTTTATTCAGTTTTTTGTTGTTTCCACGATGATAAAAAAACAGCTTTTAAACGAGTTTGTTTTGATAAACTTTGATTCCGCTCTTCTAATTGTTTAAAACAATCTTTACCAAAACTTTAAACGTTTTTACTTTGAAGTAACATGACTCCGTTATAATAAATTTTTCTAAAGTAATTTCTCCTCTAGTTGATTTTACTTATTCAACTTTTGCGATGCTAAAGGTAGCGCGAAAAAACATACTTTTCACTCCGCATTACAAACTGACTCCAATTAAGAGCAAATTTAGAAACTACATAGAAAGAATTCGCTGCATTACGAAAAAAAGCATGAGCTCATTTGAAAATAAATCCGCCATTTGTAAAAAGAGCATTAAAAAAATGACTTTTTTGACATGGGATTGTCCATAAAAAACGTACGCTCAGAGAAGCAAATGAGGTCTGCAAATTGCGTATCTGAGATAAGTGGGCAATAGATCAATAATAAAAGTATGGGGGTCAATTATAAAAGTTGGGTATAAAGGAAAGAAATTAACTCTTTAACTGACAAAACTTTGACAAAATTTTGACAAAATTTTGTATATGCAATGCTATCGTTGGCGCAAATAAGTTCATTTTAAACATTGCATGTTACTTAAGGGTTGTGTTCTCCAATTGGAGAGCACAACTCTGAACAAATTATTAAGACTTTTAACTGCACGACAAAACACAAAAATTTAAAAACATTTTTTTTTTAAGGTGACTCAAATCTTTTATTTTGAATTTTTAAATGTAATGTTTTTTAAACTGATATAATTTCATCATTTTTTGCATTGCTGAAAAAGCCGTGATCAAACACGCACTTTTTAAACTGCATAAATGAGTTCCAATTGGAATTTTGCAATAAATAAATAAGGCGTATAGCTGCACATTACTTTTATTCGATCTAATTTGTCTTTAAAAAGAACTTTGGCGACTTAAAAATTAATAAACGGACTCCGGTTAAAGGCTGTTTCAACCATAAATGGGTACTAGGGGCTCAGAGAAGATACGGATGACTAAAGTCACCACAATCTTTTCATAGAGCCCGTATTTATTAGTTATCAAGTTGCATTACAAATCGGCTCAAGTTAATGAGCACATAGAGAGAAAATAACAATAAAAAAAGAAAAAATTCGCAACAATACAAAATAAAGCAGGAGTCCATTTACAATATTTATTAAACATAAAGCACACAATGAAAAAAAAGCTGTAGTATGAAAAAAATATTGTTAATTAAAAGCTTCAACAAGGTGAAATTTTCTTGTTTGAAATTAAGTTGCTATGGCGTTGCTATGGACCTCAAAACCCTCTAATGGTGAATGTACACACACTTATTTATTTATTTTATTTTTTAAAAAACTGTAAATATGTTCTATGAACAAAAAATATCAATATATAAAAACGTAAATTTTCTAAAAAATTTTTAAAGTTAAAGGAGGTGTACTACCTTAACATACATTTTACTTTGGTAACAGGTTAAAGAAAAATCACATTTTTCATTTAACAGTTTTTTTCTTAAAGAGTTTTTTACTTTTTAAACAGTGAGGTACGTGAGTGTCCCGCCAGATTATTGCCACGGTGTACCTATGAGAACCATATGGATGAGCTTGTCAGGTATCTTTTGTGGGTCCTAACCAATTGCTGTTTTTCAAAACGTAAGACTTTAAAGAACGAAAAATGCAAGTTTTTCCATTGTTGTTAAAACGAAATCTTTGAAATCTTTTTTACACAACATCTCATTTCAAAATGAGCTGTAAAAAAACTTAACTTAACTGTTTGCGCCAACCATAGCATTGCTAACACTTATATAAGTTTTGTCAGTTTAAGAGTTGTTTTTTACCCTTTGAAAATAGCATTTGTAATTGACCCCATATTCTTTTATATTTGACCATTTGCCCACTTATCTCTAAAACACTCTTTGCAGACCTCCACTTCCTCTCTGAGCGTACGTACTTTATGAACAATGCTATGTCTAAAATGTCCTTTTTCTAATGCTTTTCCTATGAATGTCGGATTATATTTAAAAAGAGCTTAAGGTTTTTTTTGTAGTTTACTGAATTTTTTCTCTGTTCATTGTAGTTTCTAATTGTGCTCTCAAACTGTAGTTCGTGTGTAATGCGGATTGAAAAGTATGTTTGTTTTAGCAATTTTTCGCATTGTAAAAATTGATAAAGTATTATCAATTGGAGGAAAACTTACTTTTAAAAACATAACACAACGGAGTCATGTTACTTTAAAGTAAAAACGTATAAAGTTTTAGTAAATTATGTTTTAAACAATTAGAAGAGCGAAATCAAAGTTCATTAAAATAAACTTGTTCAAAGTTTGTTTTTTTATCATCGTAGAAACAACAAGAAATTAAATAAAAAAAGAGGTTGTAAAGCAGAAAATGTCTAATTTTTATTAGAGATATGATCATTCAGAGCCGTCATTCGGCGACCATGAAGTCAAGATTATCGAACTTTAGTCGAAGACCACTCCAGTATCTGCAATGGTTCATGTGCTCGTGTTTAGTAATTTTTAAATCGCCAGAGTAATTTTTAAAGGCAAATTATATCGAATAAAAATATTGTGTAGTTATACGCCTTACTTATTTATCGCAGCATTGCGCTTTTCAACTTGAGTTCGTTTATGCAGTTATAAAAAAGCGTTTGATCACGGCTTTGTTAGCAATGCTTAAAATAATGAAATATTATCAATTTAAAAATCATTACTTTTAAAAATTGAACATAAAAGAATACAGTCACCTCAAAATAAAATCGTTTTGAAGTTTCTTGTGATTTGTTGTGCAGTTGAAATTCTTATTTATTTTTTTAACCCTTAAGTCCCATGCTTTGTTTAAAAAGAACTTATTTGCGCCAATTATAGCATCGCTAACACTTATCAAAGTTTGTTGTTAGTTGGAAAGTTGTTTTTTATCCTTTATACCCAACCTTTATACCCAAAGATTGTTGTGATTTTAGTAATCCGTATTTTATTTGAGCCCCTAGTAGCTATATATGGTTGAAACAGACTTCAAATGAAGTCCGCTCTTTATTTGGAGAACACAACCCTTAAATCCCATGCAAAGAATGTTTAAAGTGAACTTATTTGCGCCAACCATAGCATTGCTAACACTTATCAAAGTTTTGTCAGTTACATAAATAAGATTTTTTAAAAATTAGTTTTTTTATCTAAATAGTGTTGAGAGAAATCGTACGAGTTTTATAACGGTTTAAAAATAGTGTATGTGTTACCAACAAAGGATCCAAAATCGAGAAAAAACGGAGTCGAGAGAAATCGAGAAAAAACTCCGTCGGAGTCGAGAAAAAATCGGAGTTTCGATAATATTTTGTTATAAAAATTAAACTATCTATTTGATAAAAAAATTAAACTCTCTATTTGATAATTAAACATTGTTCTTGTATTTTTATTTTTTAATTTTAAATATTTCGATTTATAATTCATAATAAAATTTTAAAAAATTTATATTTTTATATTTCTTAGTACATAAATATTTTTTTTATCACAATTTTTTAACGAACAAGTTATATCTAATAATTGGTTTTCTAACCGGCATCAGTTAGGAAGAAGGCGTGAACTTTCAGTTAAATGCCCTTCTGCGTTGCTATGCAATAAAGTAATAATAGTAAAAATTAAAAAAAAAATTTGAAAAAAAAAGTATTTATACTGAAGATCTTTTTAAATAATATTTTAAAAAGATCAAAACATCTATCATTTCATCAGAAAGCGAACTACGAAACTTTGTGACAAATCTGGAAGACGAGGAGAAAACTCTTTCTGCTTCCGAGGAAGTTGCTTGAATTCTGTGGATGGCTAGTTCAAATTTTAAAACTGTTTCTGATTTCACACCAGTTACTTCATATTCTTTCAACTGATCGGTGAAGGTCTTGACTTTTTTTGGTTTTTTAGCTGCTGATTGATTTTGAATTAGAACTTCTTGAATTTCGGAGAAAAAAGATGTCGATTGTGATGGTTCTTCTTGTTTGTTTTTAGCGTGATCATCTGATTTTGATTGGAGACTATTTTCTTTTGTTGCAAATAGTTGATCAAATAATTTTGAAGCATAAATTTGAATATCTTTTTTGGAAGCGTAAAAAAATGTGTGGTTTTTATTTTTAAAAAAATCGGGATTGTGCAAATAACGACTCAATGATACCAACATAACGTTTTTACGATCTTCATATCTGGAGATTAAGGTCTCTGCAAAATTAGAACTGATGTCAGTTTCTGCAACCTTCAATTTTCTTACTAACGTTTTCATAATAATGTCACACTCCAAAATTGTTGTTTTTGGTTTTTCCAAGCGAACTGCAGCGTCAGCAACGACTTCCAATAAGTCAGACAGCGATTTTAAGAAATCCAAGTCATTTTAGCTAACATGTTTAAGCAGTTTAGCTCTTCGAGTGTTTTTTTTACAGCTTCTAAGCAATCCAGAAATCTTTTAATCATCTTAAAAACACTGTTCCATCTTGTTCGGTTGTCGAACAACAGTCCTTTGTCATGCGAAGATCCGTATATTTCGTGTATTTTTCTTTTAAGAACTTCATATCGAAACGATGAATATTTCAAAAACTTAATTAGTATTTGAAGTTTCTGTAGATTTTTTTCGATATTTTTTCATACTCAATCTCATTCTCCGAATATTCAATAAGAAACTCTCCTTCAGACTCTCCATCAGTTTCTGTTTCTGTTTCAATAATCGATTCAGTTTCTTTGTTCACAATTTTGCGACAATCGTTTTTAGCGTATATCAAATCACAAACACTCAAATGAATTGAATGATTCTGGCAGATTTGATGTGGAAACTTAAATATGGTACCCAATTTCACCATCCAACTACAGCCATCCGTAGTTTTACCTGCAATATCTTCACTATCTATTCCAAATTCTTTTAATTTTTCCATTATCAAAATGTTTAATGTTTCAGCAGAACTAGGAGATGGCAATCTCATTATTCCTAAACAATACGTTCTGTCGTGATGAACATTTAAATTGTAGTATCTTCTACCTCTATTGCTACACCATTCGTCACCTGTTAGTCCAAATTTTTCTCCTTTTGCTTTCAATGCAGCCAATTCAGCGATCATTAAGTATTTGGCTTCAGCATGAAACATCTTAATTTTTTCTGAAATTGCGGACGCTGACTTAGGCAAACTATGCCCGTAATTTTCAAAAAGCATTCTTAGTGTTTCAGATTGAGTTATGGACCTAATCGAATACCCATCAAGAGCTGTCAACTTGGCAAGAAGATCGTTTAATGATATCTTAGTCAAAACTGGTCTGGAACTGAATGGTTTCAAATCTATTTTCTCGCAACTTTTGACGTGTCCAATAAGGCCGTTTGTGCTGCTTCCTGGACAAGCGATTCTTTTATGACATTTTTTGCAATCTCCATACTTCTTATCATTTACCACAACTTTATTAAAGTACTTCCACGCTTCCGAAACCATTTTTTTCTATGAAAGAAAAATTATCAATTTGATAATGACCTCCCATATTTGTTTTTAATTTTATTTTAATTGTGAAAAGTTATCACATTTTAAGTTATTAAGTTATTTATTCTGATAGGTAAGTATAATTAAACATTAATTATTATTATTATTTATTTTCACTGATAACATTTTAGTGCACAATTTTGCCACAATGCTCAGCGGGCCGGATTTTAGACTTATGGTGGACAAAATTATTTTGATCATACAAAATACGACACTACTTGTATAAAATGAAAGTTTTATATGTTTTATATGTTAAAAACTTACCTCGTTATTTTACGACCAGTCTTTGTTTATATTATAAATAATGATCTTGACTAAACTTTTTTTTTGTAAAGGTAAACTATTGAGTAGTTAAAATATATAAACTAATATCACATTCGCATAATATTTTAAAAATTACTGTTTATTATATCTTTGCTTAAAAATTAAAAAATTCTTGCTTTTTATTATGCATTACATTTTATATTACCGCAATTGATTTTTGTGGATTTAAAAAAATACTAATACTAAAAAGATACTAATATACACAAAAGAGTTTTTGAAATAGTACAATGGAAAAGTATGATTATGTTTTAATATATGGTTTTGAATAGAATAAACTTTTTTTGAGGTTTTTTTCACCATCATCACCTGGCCCACTGTGGATTACCAATTGCTTTGCGATGTATATTAGTGTTGTTATTAAACGAAGAGAACACTTACATTTGAAACAATTTTTAAAATTACAATTTACAATTGCAAAAACCGCGTAGAAATAAAATAAGAATTCAATTATTTTACGAATAAAAAATTGGTATTTTCTAAAACCTTCGTCGAAGTTTCGTCGAAGTTTCGTCGAAGTTTCTCGATTTGTCTCGAACTCCGAAACTCCGAAAAACCGAGAAAAATCCGTCGAGACGGAGTTCCGAATGGATCCACTGGTTACCAATAAAATTTAAAAGTAACAGTTAAATTAAATTTTTTTACAGCTTATTTTGAAATGAGATGTTGTGTAAAAAGGGTTTCAAAGATTTCGTTTTAACAACAATGAAAAACTTGGATTTTTCGTTCTTTAAAATCTTACGCTTTGAAAAACAGCACTTGGTTAGGACCCACAAAAGATACCTGACAAGCTCATCCATATGGTTCTCATAGGTACACCGCGGCAATAATCCGGCGGGACACTCACGTACCTCACTGTTTCAAAATTAAAAAACTCTCCAAGAAAAAAGTGTTGAATGAAAAAAGTGATTTTTCTTTAACCTGTTACCAAAGTAAAATGTATGTTAAGGTAGTACACCTCTTTTAACTTTTAACGTTTTTTAGAAAATTTACGTTTTTATATATTGATATTTTATGTTCATAGAACATATTTACAGTTTTTTTCAAAATAAAATAAATTAATAAGAGTGTGTACATTCGCCATTAAAGGGTTTTGATGTCCATAGCAACGCCATATCAAATTAATTTCAAACAAGAAAATTTCGTCTTGTTGAAGCTTCTAATCAACAATATTTTTTTCAAACTACAGCTTTTTTTTCATTATGTGCTTTATGTTTAATAAATATTGTTAATGGGTTCCAGCTTTATTTTGTATTGTTGCCAATTTTTTCTTTGTTTATTGCATTTTTCTCTCTATGTCCTCATTAACTTAAGCCGATTTATAAAGCGACTTGATAACTAATTAATACGGGCTCTATGAAAAGATTGTGGTGACTTTTGTCATCCGTATCTTCTTTGAGCCCCTAGTAACCATTTATGGTTGAAACAGCCTTTAACTGGAGTCCGTTTAATAATTTTTAAATCGCCAAAGTTATTTTTATATACAAATTAGATCGATTAAATTTAATGTGCAGCTATACGCCTTATTTATTTATTGCAAAATTCCAATTGGAACTTATTTATGGAGTTTAAAAAGTGCGTTTGATCACGGCTTTTTCAGCAATGCAAAAAATGATGAAATATTATCAGTTTAAAAAACATTACATTTGAAAATCAACATAAAAGAATCGAGTCACCTTAAAAACAAATGTTTTCAAATTTTTGTGTTTTTTCGTACAGTTAAAAGTCTTAATTATTTGTTCAGAGTTGTGCTCTCCAATTAGAGAACATTGTCAAAAAAGTCATTTTTCTATTTCGCCTTTTACAAATGGTGGATTAAATTTGAAATGGGTTTTTGCTTTTTTTTATAATGTAGCAAATTTTTTCTTTGTTTAGTGTATTTTCTAATTGTGCTCTCAATTTGGAGTCCGTTTGTAATGCGGTATGAAAAATATGTTTATTCAAGTTTTAAATAGCATTGCAAAAAATGATAAAGTTTTATCAACTGGAGAAAAAATTACTTTGAAAATCTAACATAACGGAATCATGTTACCTCAAAGAAAAAACGTTTAAAGTTTTGGTATAGCTCGTATTAAACAATTAAAAGAGCAAACTCAAAGTTTATCAAAATAAACTAGTTTTAAATGTTCACTTGATTCTTTTATGTAGAGACTATTAATTTTCAGTCGATGACCATTCCATTATCTGCATCGGTTCATGTGCTCGTGTTTATTTTTATTACCATTATACACTTATCGAAGTTTTGTTAGTTAAAAAAATTAGATTTTTTGAAAATTGAATTTTTTATCTGAATAGTGTTAAGTGAAATCGAAAGATTTTTATAACGTATTAAAAATAATGTATGTGTTACCAATAAAAATTAAAACTAAAAATTAATTTTTTTTTTTTACAACTCATTTTAAAAAGAAGTATTGTGTAAAGAGGTTTTTAAGATGTCGATTTAACAACAATGGAAAAACTTCATATTTTTACCGTTTTGAAAAACGGCAATTGGGTAGGACCCACACAGGATACCAGACAAGCTCACCCATGTGGGCCCTATAGGAAAACCACGGCTATGATCTGGCGGAACACCGGCGCACCTTTTTTTTGTTGTTGTTTCCACGATAATAAAAACACAACTTTTAAACGAGTTTATTTTGATGAACTTAGTTTCCGCTCTTCTAATTGTTTAAAACAAGCTTTACCAAACCTTTAAACGTTTTTACTTTGAAGTAACATGACTCCCTTACGTTAATTTTTTTTAAGTATTTTTTCATTCAGTTGATAATACTTTAGCAGTTTTTGCGATGCTAATGATAACGCAAACAAACATTATTTTCACTCATCATTACAAACGGACTCTAGTTGGAGAGCACAATTAAAAAAAATAAATTAAACAAAGAAAAAATACGCTACTTACAAAAAAATGCATATGCCCATTTTGAATATAATCCGCAATTTGTAAAAAGAGCATAAGGATAATGATTTTTTTGACATTGGATTGTCCATAACGTACGTACGCTTAGAGAGGTAGAGGAGGTTTGCAAACGGCGTTTCTGAGATAAGTGGCCAATAGGTCAATTATAAAGATATGGGGGGTCAATTATAAAGGATTGGTATAAAGGATAAAAAACAACTCTTATACTGGAAAAACTTTGAAACGTGTTAGAAATGCTATGGTTGGCGCAAATAAGTTTACTTTAAACATTGCATGGGACTTAAGGGTTGTGTTCTCCAAATAGAGAGCAGAACTCTGAACAAAAAAATAAGACTTTTAACTGCACAACAAAACACAAGAAACTTTAAACGACTTTTTTTTGAGGTAACTTGATTCTTTTATTTATTATTTTTTTAATATTTTCTTCTTATTACCCTGTAGTAAATTACAGGTAAAAAAATATTTAGATAGTTAAACAATAAATTAACAATCAGTTAAGAGCAAATTTAGAAACTACATAGAAAGAATTCGCTGCATTACAAAAAAAAGCATAAGCTCATTTGAAATTAAATCCGCCGTTTGTGAAAAAAGCATTAAAAAAATGACTTTTTTGACATGGGATTGTCCATAAAAAACGTACGCTCAGAGTGGCAAATGAGGTCTGCAAATTGGGTTTCTGAGATAAGTGGGGAATAGGTCAATAATAAAAGTATGGGGTCAATTATAAAAGATGGGTATAAAGAAAAGAAATTAACTCTTAAACTAACAAAACTTTGATATGTATTAGCAATGCTATCGTTGGCGCAAATAAGTTCATTTTAAACATTGCATGTTACTTAAGAGTTGTGTGTTTGTGTGCAAATGTTTATCGCATCTAGATGCAATAAACATTTGGTGAAAATTTCATACAAATTTAACTTACGGTTAATGAGATAGGATGGCCGGGAGGTCAAAAATTTACATTTTGAGAAAAACTCGTTTGATTATTATATTCATAAATTTTCATAATATTTTCTCTCGTATACTCAATTGAAAAACTTTTATTTATATAAACATGAAACAGGGTCATAAAGACAACCTTCTTGATCATTCTCTGCATCATCCTTTTTTTTTTTGCATCCACGAATAACTTTTCGTCGCTTTTTAGATGTAATCCTATTTTGATATTCTGCAAAAGTTAAGCGCTTTTTGTTTATGGTTGAACAGCCTTGGAGAGTATAAATACCAGAAATCATATTCAACTTTTCAAACAGAAGTATGTTTGATTTTCTTCCAATATTAAAATTTGAAACAGCATTATAAACTCCTAACTCCAACTGCGTTAATGAAACATACTTTGTTTTAGGTATGCGCTGTCATATCATTCCATTTAACCTTTCATTCTGGTTTTGGGTTTTACCATGAAGGCATTTTTTTAAGAGTTCTTCTTGAGATAAATCTATATATATATAGGTTTTAGATGACTGACAACTGAGAGTGGAAGACAAGCACCTGGCTTGTAGGTAAACGTTAAATTAGCTTTATCCTGTTTATAACGACACCAACTATTGATACCATCTGGGCAATGAGCATGCCAATTATTTTCAGCTGATAATGCAACATGAAACAATGTTGCAAGTATAGCCTTTTTCATACCTTCTAAATCATTGGCATTTAGCCTAACAGCAATTCCATAGTAGTTTTGTAGGCGATCAATTATAGCATTTGTTAATTTGCCTTTGCCTCCAAGTCCTTTTACATTTTTTTTCAAAATTCACAATCTGCTACCAACACGTTTCTGTACATGTCCAACACACTCCAACTTACACACTGTTATACCAGGATAAGTATCTTTAACATACGAATAGCTTTCACAATCACCGTCACCATAATACTTTACATACCTCAGTTTATTTTGTTAAATAGAACGGCTAAATATTCTTTGAGCGCCAGTTACTTCCATTCCAGGAGCAGAGCCACGATAATTTAGTTTACATACATGTGATGATTTCCAAGCTTCAAAGGCATTTGGGTTATTTTCTTTAAGTTTTAGTTTTAAACTACATGTTTTACATGATCGACTCATTGGTTCACAATCAAGAATTTTACCTGTGTCCATTGATATAGCAGTAACCACTCCATTTAATGAGGAAAATCCACGACGTTGCCAGCTACCATCAACTGATACTGCAATATCAACAATATTTGAAGAAGATTCACAAATATCTCTAACAGCGTCAGACATTGTTTCTTTTGCAACAACTTTAGCACAATCAGAGACATGTTTAATTATTTTGTTGTAATTGTTCTTAGTCATTGGTGTAGGAATGTTCATTAAAGAAGTAAATTTTTCTAATCCTGAATAACCTTGACCACATGCACGCATAGAATAAATTATTCTATTATTTACATCAAAATTTTTCTTCCCAGAGCATGTCTTTGAAGTATAAAATTCAATTTTTTTGTTGCAATTAGGGCAGCATATATTCAACATCGAGCTAAAACCTTTTTTATTAGGAAAACATTCTTCAAGAAATAATCCAGATTGTAAACAATTTTTGCAACATAATTGACTTATTACACCAGATAAAATTTTAATGTCAATAATACGATAACCAACAGTTTTATTATTACTTTGATGTGGTGTTTCAATTTTTTTCAACTTTTTTCGAGGATATAGATAAATCTAATAAACTATTTTTGAAAATAAGGTCATTTTCAGAACAGGTAACATTGTTATTAACAGGAGCTACTGATAAAGTTGAATTGTTTGTCAAATTTTTGGTATACCTATTTCCATGAAATCTTCTGGATTTTTTACTTTGAGTACTTTGTTTAACTCTGCATGATTTACCCATTATTGAAAAAGTTTATTAAATAACACAAAAATAACTAAATAGCTGGCAATTCTTACAAAAAAACCGTTGCTATGCGTGTTGCTAAGCAGATCAAATTTACCCAGTTGAAGGAAACCTTTTATATCTCAAGAACTTAGCCTTAATTTTAAAAAAAGTTTTCAAATTCGGATTCAGCGATAAATTTCGTGCAAGAAATACACAAATTATTTTTTTTGAATTTTTAAGGAATTTTGAGGGGTCTTATACCTTAATCCGCCACTGATTTAAACATTATTAATTAATTAAAAGTTATTTATTACTTTGAAAAGTTATTATTAATTATTTTGAAGATTTCATTTCAAATTCTTGTTTAATTTAACCTAATAACTTTTTTATACAAATTAAATTAATTTGTAAATCTAATTTGAGTAAATTACTTTTATTTGAAAGAATGCCTGCCGAAACCTAAATCCTCAGTAGATGCATGTACACGCTACTTCATCTATGCCTATTTAAGTCTGTCGATGTATGTTCACTCTACAGTGCCTTTTCCTAATTAAGCCTGCATACTACACTGCGGCATCTAAATCAGTCGATTTATCTATTCATTGATGCACTTTTTCTATGAAACTTTGAAAGATAAAAATAAATAACAAACTTAACTATAATATAACAACAATACTAGTTAAAAACATAAAACTACTTAAAATAAAACCTCAAAATTTATAATAGTTAATACCTTTAAACGTCTCAATTCAGATAATTTCAAGACATAATTGTATTTATCTTTGAGACGACGAATATTAGCTGTCTCAAGCCGTCTAAGAGATGACTACTAATAAATGTCTTATATTGATCTGAATTTACTCATTTAAAAGTGTTAACATTTTAGAAAAAAAACGTCTAAAAGACATGTTTGTGCCGGCTGGGTTATACCAAACTAAAAATTGCGAAAACTATAGATAAAAAAGAGGTAAAAAAAATCAATTATCATCGGCACAAACAACATTGATTTTTTTTTAAAAGTCAAAAAATTTAATTTTACGCGTAGAAAATTACAAGTGTTAAAGATGAAACTTGCGCCGACTAGTATCCATATCTTTCCTCTGTAATAAAGAAAAAAAAAAAAAAAAAAAAAAAGAGAAATTAGCATTCAACATTAACTTTCAATAATATAATTTAACTGCTATAAAAATGTTTACCTTATGAATCCATTCATATTCGCCATATTTTGAATCAAAAGAACCTTTCTGCAAAGACCGCAGCTTTAGTGTAAAGCGCGGGCCCAGTTCTTGTAATCCAGTTTTTTTTCCGTTCTTAAAAACATATCTAAAAGAAGCAAAATTGATTATTTATTTTTCATCATTCAATTATTTAAATATTACCTAAAATTTGACTCTATACCATTTTGCTGTATTGTAATCTACTGGGCTCTTTAAAACAATTTTTCGAACATATATAGGCAAAATTTTAAGGATCTAATATTAGCATATCAGCATAACATTTCCCATAAATTTTAAAAGGTTTTTCTGCAGAATTCACTATTTTATCCAATTATATGTTGAGAGTTTTTCTTTGTGAATTGTGCTTTTGAAATAAATAAACTTTGGCATCTCTGTTTATATAGAAATACTTGATTCCCACCAGGGGAATGGAGTCGTAAAAAAAAGTACCGACTCCGACTTCAATCATTGAAATTTTTAGACTTCAAAGCAAAATTTTTGAAAAATACTTTGAATTCTTTAAAAAATAATACACGATAATTAATTTTTTTTTGCCAATTATATGAAAAGTTCATTAAAGTTTAAATATTTTATACATGCACGCACAATTTTTTTACTATTGTTTTACTATTTGTTTACTATTATTACTATTGTTTACTATTATTTTACTAATTGTTTTACTATTGGAGTCGGAGTCGTGATTTTGTTTAAAAAAAACGACTCCGCTAAAAATGTCGTGACTCCAACTCCACAGCCCTGATTCCCAGGAGTGAGATACTTGATCTCCCATAAAATTAAGTATCCCACTCATGAAAATAACATAAATCAAACAATGATGAAAATCAAACTTTTTACTGAAACAAAGTAAAAGCAGGTAGTTATATTTTCACAGAAATGTAGAAATAAATCCATAAATAAAAACAAACAGCACGACCAATAGTAAAACTACCACAGCCTTCCGCTGACAGATGGCTGTGGTAGTTTTCGCATATCAGTCCGGTTCACTTTGCTGACTTTGTCTTCTGATGAAAAAGCTAAACAGCTTCTACTAGTTCTTCTACTAGTTACTTCTACTCTCTTCAAAAAAATTAACTTTCAAGGTATTTTGTTTAAGACAAAACTTTCACAACATAAAACTTGACATTTTAGTCACTTAAACTTAAATACTAAAGATAAACTCAAGACTTTAAACGATGGTTGGCGCGAAAACTTAATTTTTTGTTTAATAACGAAAAGCTTTGTCTTTAAAATTTTCAAACTTTTTAATAGCTATAAAGTTGTCAAAATATTATATGCGTGTCGTATATTGGAGTACCATAGCATGTCTTCCTGAACATAGGCGTGTCATATATCAACATTATAAATAATTTGATTATCAACGTTATACTCAAATTAATAATAATCAAATTATCAACGTCATGACGCAATAAATTTAGGCAAAAGTTTAATTCTGCCTTAATATATTGAGTTTTACCAATGTTGGCATTAAAACCATAAAATATATTGTGTTTTACCAATGTTGGCATTAAAACCATACAATATATTGTGTTTTACCAATGTTGGCATTAAAACCATAAAATATACTTTGTTTTACCAATGTGGACATTAAAACCATAAAAAAAAACGAGCTGAAATTGTTATCACTTACTTCGAACGCGTAAAATACAGTTTTAACTTCACAAAACATAATAATCTTCGTTAAAATGTTAGGCATTTTCTGAAATAGAAACCATTGCTTCTGAAATAAAAGCTACTTAGTTCATTAAAATTTGTGCTTCGGAATTAAAATTTTTTAGAATTTTGTGTGATTAAATCTTTCAAATACTTAAGGAGTAAGTAGAATACATCTGCTGACTAGTTTCATACCCTTTCTCTATATGTTTATTGGCGGATTGTTTCCTGCGTAAGATAAATGCTGGATCTTTTTGACTCTGCTAATCAAATTTTGTTTGTGTTTCCTTAATAGTGACTATGCAACTATTCTTACACTTAATAGTGACTATGCAACTGTTATCTGCCAATGAGGATACAACTCTAAAACTCAGTTTAAGGTTCTGAGGCTAGCTGGTATCTATCCCGAACTCTGTGGCAGCCCTAAGAAAGGCTGATTCCATCAATAGCTGTAAAATATCAGAGTATTAATAGAGCTATGTTGAGCATGAATGGTGTCCTTGATAGCACTTTTGGTGAGCATTGTCGAAGCAACATAAGGAGCACTTGGTTACATCACAATTAGGAAAATTACTGCTTGGAATGCAATTAACTATGCAGTTTTTTCACTGAACTTGAATGCTTGTGGAATTCTTTTCCCATCTTTATGTTTTCAAGTTTTCTGAAAACAATTTCCTTTGTTTTTTCTCTTAACTCATAACTCAAGAGTGGCTGCTTGCAGCCTTGCTTACTACTCTCTCTCTCTCTCTCTCTCTCTCTCTCTATATATATATATATATATATATATATATATATATATATATATATATATATATATATATATATTTATATATATACTATCAAACACCTAAATTAAAAACATTACTCATGTTTAAAACATAGACACAGAACATGCAAAATGAGACTTTATAAAAAAACTTAATACAAAGCCCTTACTTTTGGTCTATTCAGATAACTTATCAGCTTGTTTTAGACTAAAAAATCCCCAGTAGGGTAATCATTTAATGATAAAAACATAATTTATAATCATTTAATGATAAAAACTAATCTTAGTTAGAGTCTTATGATTTTATTTGTAACATTTTTGCAATTTTAAGCAGTAAGAACGTTTTAAACCAATATTTCTTATCCAACAAGTTATTAAGTTAAGTTTTGTTATATTTGACTCGAAAATCTTAACTATTTTATAGAAAAAATTTACTAAAAAAATTGAATTGAAAAAATCAAAATTAAAAAAAATAAAAAAATAAATAACCTGTGATGTCGAAAAAATATAAAATCTCGTTGATTATGAAAGGTAACTGCACGTCTTCCTTGAAACTGTGGATCGTATGGAAACAAAGCAGCTAACAATCTGGCCACTGAATGACCAAGGCGTGTGTTAAAATTATTAAGTATAAGCTCTGGTCGATGTTGTGATGTTTTACCATGATTCTAAAAAAAAAAATTAAATATCTGAAACTTTTTTACCCGTTAAGTTAAAAATAATTTCTTTTTTCTCGTATGAACAAAAAAGGACTCTCAAACAATTTTAATTGAATACCTATAATTAACACAAATGAAAATTAAAAAATTTAGCTGTCAAATGATTTGACAGCTATTTTTAGTTTAAGAAAGTATTATTAAAACCAAAGTCGAACTGGCGAGGGGGTTGGTTTTTTTTCCCCTGGGCCCCTGCTATGTTTAGGCTTTTCGCTATTTCATGGGCCCCAAAATAAGGTACCTAAAAAAAAAAAGTCCTTGATGTATAATAAAGGGAAATTTTTATATATGAGGCAGCCCTTATGTCTATGGCATCTATGTTCTTCCCCCCGGCCCCTAAATCCCAGCCTGACCCTAATTAAAACACAACAAGAATGACTAAAGAAAAAACAAGAAACTAGCAAAATAGTATACACAACTTTTCATAGTGGTAGTTTAAGTTAACTTTTTTGTTTATTTTAATATTTAAATTACATCATGACTTTGCTAATGTATTTATGAATTGAACCTGAGTAAAATGGTTTAATTTTTTTTTATTGAAAAACTCTTGATACTACAAAAACGTTTTTTTTCCTAAAAAGTATTGTTTTTTTTTCCTGAAATGTTGTCTATTTATAATAAAAATGTACATAATATTATAATATTGTTTAACCCTATGTTTTAGTATAATGTTTTTTGTTTTTAGACTTATATTTTGTGCTTAAGTGCTAAATAATTTTCAAATTTATCTTATAATTATAGATTTTTTAATGAAAAAAAATCCATGTAATCTATTAACGCAAGAAATTTTTTGTAGCTCATAAAATTGCAGAAAGATTATTTCTAACAAAGAGTTTAAAAAGTTTGTGGTACTAATGCTATAGAACTAAGACTCAGTAGAAGTTGGTCTGCATTCTCTTAAATAGCTCAACACAAAGCTTAAATGGCAAACAAAACATTCTTTTTAAAAATCTATACTTGATAAAACTTTAAAAATTGCTTCAAGCAATGTCTAAAAGTTTAACAAGCTCAAATGTGTAGTTTCATAGAAAAAAAAAAAAACTGATGTCGATTATGAGATTAAACGCCTACCTTTATTTGTTCAAATAAAGATAGGCGTTGTATTTAAACTATGTTGAACTTGAAATTCAATATAATTTATATACAACTAATTTTTAAAGATATTTACAATTATGTCTCTTTTATATATATATATATATATATATATATATATATATATATATATATATATATATATATATATATATACTTATTCACAAGAAATCATATTGTTATCCTAATTTATCATTTGGTATTCACTAATTTACTCTTAACTTCCTATTGCAAATGACTTCCGATTCAAATTTTAACTTTTTTCATTACACACTCCCTTGGTTATTAAGACCACCTACCTATCTACGGACTTTAACGTTTAAAAGCCTTTCTTTCTTGAGTGCATCTTTGCAACATTAGCATCATGTTTGTGTCATCTCTCAGCAGCATTACATACAGTTTGTCATCATCTTCTGAACCCTCATCTAAATTGCCATTAACCTTTACGAATCTTAGTTGCGTATTTGCTGGCATATTTTGTCCATTTCTACCATTTGCTACGAGATAATCCCTGTAATTGACCTAATATTGTATTGAGAGTTCAACAAATTTTCTCTCCAATTTTGAATTAGTTACTTCTTTTACATAGATTATCCTAGTCATATTTTAAAAATATGACTGGGATTCTTTTGGAAAATTGTTTTCCCTTATTTCTTTTTAATTTCACTTTTAGTGAAGTTGTTTTTAAATTTTTTTGACACTTTTTATAATTTTTCTATGATTGATGAGGGAAAAAACTTAAAAAACAATTATATTACAAAAACACATACCTCGACTTTCATGTTGAAAATGTTTTGGATATATAGAAAAACTAAAAATTAAAAAAAATATCCGGAATTCCATATATCCAGAAAAAGATAATCCCTGCTTTTAACAATCATGAGCACATTTATTGCCGTCAATTTCTTAAATTCTTATTTCATATTGATACAATTTGTTTGCAGGTGTAATATAAGAACTACAACTATCTTTTGGACTGATGTTGTACCAATAAACTGCCTAGATTATCTGTATAGAACTCAATTTGCTGTTCTTTTGACAGTTTGATGACATCATTTTGCAACATCCTTTCCAGTTTCCAGATAGTACATGAACACACCTGAAGCGAATTTAACATTCCATTTATTCACAAATTGAAAAAATAATGAGCTTTGGAATGCAGTTTGTCAAAATTTTTACAGGACCTCCTTGTTTGAGAAATATAGTCTATATAGAGAAATAGAGGAACGCTGTTTATGTCAATGCATATAATAGGTAACGTCATTACTGATTATTTAGAGAAAGAGCTGGTGCAAACATCTACTTCCTAAAGTTGTTTCTTTGAACATATTCTTGATGCGTCTATAGAAACAACTCATAAGCTCTTGACACAAGAAACACATTACTTTACTTTTGTCACATACTTTTTTTCACCTGATTTTTTTATTTATTATTGTTCCTTTGTAGAATACAATCTTTTGCAAATGATTAGGGAATTTGCACTCATAGTATTCTGATTTAGTTAGACTTTCTAGCAGTCTGGAGTCAATAGATTTTTGGTTTTTAAAGAGTCAACTGCAGTAGCAGTTAATTTTTTGTTTACTCTTTTGTAACATTTCTCGATCATGAGTAGTTATGCTTGTCCAAGAACTTGTATAGTGGTAAAATTGTTGATACGAGAACCCGATCTTAGCATACATTGAATTTTTTCAGGGAGTCCAGAAATAAAAGCAGATGCAATAGCTTTTTCAGGTAGGCCGCCAATTAGGGTAGATAGGCTGCATAGTTCTGCCAAATAGAGATACACTGCTTCTTTATGTCTTAGCTTCCCTGTGATAAACTGTTTGTAGGCTGTAAATGCTTTAACAGCAAATGCTTTTAGAAAAGTTTTCTTTATTCACTCAAAACCTTCATTGTCAGTTTCTGCTAACTATTGGTAGATCGCAAACGCAACATCAATGAGAAGGAGAGGGACCACGCTTGCAAGATGGCTTAAACCAGTTTAAAAACCAGCTCAATCTTTTCCAGCAACTCTGTAACTGTTTGATTTTCATTACCAATAAACTCTAGAAATAACTTTAAAATGATTTTTGTTGACCTTTTGACAAAATAGTTTCAAATAAAAAAACAACTGTTGTCAATTAACAGGTGATGCATAATTAGTGACACAAAAATCAAAGCCTTATATTTTTAAAGAAATAAAAGAAAAAAATTTTTTCATTTTTAAAAAATAATAACACAATATTTATTTTTTTAAAAATTATTTTTTGTAAATCGATTGAACGCCTTGATCGGCTATTAATCTCAATTTAGTTTTGATACCCTTCATAAGGGATTGTAAAAATGTCAAATCAATTTTTTTCAGACAGGCTTCGATACGCCGAATCAGTTGTTGTTCACTTTTGGCCTCCCATCCACCCTCATACACATTCTGAGCCAATACACCCCAAAAGTCTTCGATTGGCCTGGCTTTGGGGACATTAGGAGGGTTCATATCAACCGGCACAAAGTTAATCATTTCATTCATCCACGATATTGCCTCTTTAGCTCTATGGGCACAAGCTAAATCCGGCCAAAATATGTAATTTAAATCATCGTGATACTTATCTATGAATGGCAACAATCGTTCTTCTAAGCATTCTTTGATATAAATTTCGGGTTTTATTGCAGCCGAGGTTGACGACCGGAAGAGTGGTTTTGACATTCCACGCTCAGATAATGCGATCCAAACAAGAATTTTTTTCGGAAATTTCTCTTTTCCCACAAAACAAAGATTTTCTGGACATTTTTCTTTGTCGTTTGTGTAATAACCGGCGTTTCCAGGCATATCATCGCCAGCAAAACAAAGGTATTTTTCGTCGTCCAAAATTAAAAGGCTTTGTTCTTTGTAGAGGTGATTGACGAGTTTTCGACTTCTTTTTTGTGCCCTTAGACGTTGTTCATCATTGTATTTCGGTGTTTTTTCTCGTTTCCGATATTTTATGTTCATTTTGGCTAATTGTCTACAAATTGTTCTTGATTTACGTTGAATTTACGTGCGAGCTTTCTTTGACTTACACCTTTTCGATTGTTGGTCAACCTTTTAAGTTTCGCTTTTTTTTCTTGAGTCCACGATGACGGGCGACCAGAATTTTTTTTTATTTTTAAACATTGTCCATCAAGCTGTCGATTGATATATCTATATGCTGTTTTGCGAGCGATTCCTTCTTTAATAAAATGGTTAGCGGCTTCGGCTTTGGTCGCTTTTGCGTTTTTTACAAAAAATTTTTTGACGCTTTTTTGAAGAGCTGCTCTTTCTTGGCGGTTAAACATTTTTTTTGGATAATTTTTTTTTTTAATAAAACTAGAATATTCAATTTACCAAAATAAATTTATATGGTTTTATGAAAAAGATTATATTACGAGCAAAACTAAGTTAACTTTTGTGTCACTAATTACGCATCACCCGTTATATGTAAAACTTTCTTTATAAAATCATATTCATAGTATTTAACTAGTCTGGAAACGCGGGCGATTTTCCATATATTTCTTTAAGTAACTTGAACTTTATGGGGTGACCAGACTGAGAGGGCATCAAATATTATTAAAATGACATTTTATGGCCCAGATTTTGAAAATTTGAATGAATTTGATGCTGTTTTAGCTGCTGTTTGTTGGAGACAGGCTTCAATTTTAGTTTAAACATTAGACAACCTAATTTAATTTAACCTAACCAAAGTAAAGAAGAATATTTATGTGTTTACTTTGCAAGAAACAATGTATATCACAAGGTGACTTGTCACCTCAACGCCGAAACACAAGATTACTGATAAACAATTTAGTAAACAGGGCTCAATTTAACAGTTCAATTTAACGTGAAATTAATAAATTCGCAGATGGCA